ATGCTCATCATTCTCTAATTTGATTGTCACACTACTAAAAATCGTGCCCTAAACAATTCCCGCTCACTGCGATCGTTCGCTCGTCTAATCCCCCAAGGAGGAATCGTTAAGTAAATTTAATTGCACTCAGCTACGCTCACTTCATTCACAATTGGAACAACGACAGTCGCCCCCTGTTATTAACATTTCAGCTGGAAAAATTAGAAAACTAAAAATTAATCAGCTTAGCTGCGAGAAGAACGGCGAAGAAGAAGAGCAACTTTATAGTATACTGTCCCAAGATATCGAAAGACCTAACCTGTCCTATCCTAACTATGAAATTTACACACATACGCACACGCATAGAGTGAGTGAGAGATCACGCAATATACGCAACACGCAATTGTCCTTAACAATTTCATCTTATTTCCTTTTATTATTTCATGTTCATTTTGTGGGCGTTCGTTTTTTCCTTTTTTGTTGTTTTTTTTTTTTTTGTTCAATTTGGAAATGGATGGAAAATGTGGAAAATTGTAACAATGGATGCAACTAGATAAAACGCAAAGCGTTTAATTTACGAGCACGAGCAGAGAGCGACAAGTGCAAATGCACTTGTTCTAGGGAAACTTGTGAGAAATGCTCGCTGCTCAGATCTTGCCGCCCTAACAAGTGCTGGGGCGGGAGGCGTGGCTGGCCAACATCAGAGCCTGCTATCGGTGCAAATATCTGTAATTGCAATGCGGTTGAATCTAGGTGACACAAGTGCTCGCTCTCGCTCTCACCCTCTCCCTCTCTGTCTGTCGCTGACTATGGGTGAAATCCTGAGCTGAAAAAAAATGTCAGCATATAGGGCTTGAACATAAATTACATTATTCTTTGTCAACATTTGTGAGTCAAAAACGTGTTCGCTGTTCATGTTAAACAAATAACTCACTTGTTGCGGCTGCCTCAACTGCTGCTGCTGCTGCTGCCTCAGCTGCTGCTTCTTCTTCTTCATGTTGTTGTTTATGCGACTGTTATTTACGAGACATCAGTCAGGCTGCTTTTTGCAGGTACCCAAAGCTTGCAACCCCCCCCCCCCCCCCCCCGTTATTTACGAGACATCAGTCAGGCTGCTTTTTGCAGGTACCCAAAGCTTGCAACCCCCCCCCCCTCCCCCCCTTGCCGCTCTCCCACTCTCCCTGGACTGCTGCTGCTGGCTGGCGTGTTGTAATCAGAGCATCCTTAATAAATCATAAATTTATTCGGGGTC